GGAGATGTTGGGTTAATGTGATTAATCTCACCTGTTTGCTTTTTCTAATGTGGTTACTAGAAAATTTAGAAGGACACACGTGGCTTGCATTCTGTTTTTCTCGGATGGTGCTGGTGTAGACGTGCTGGGTGCACGAATTTTCGCTCCTATTACAAGCTGCACTAAAGAGCCCATTTTTTTTTTTTTTTAATTTATTTGACAGAGACACAGCGAGAGAGAGAGGGAACACAAGCAGGGGGAGTGGGAGAGGGAGAAGCAGGCTTCCTGCTGAGCAGGGAGCCCGACGCGGGGCTCGATCCTAGAACCCTGGGATCACGACCCGAGCTGAAGGCAGACGCCTAACGACTGAGCCACCCAGGAGCCCCCTAAAGAGCCCATTTTTGTTCCAATGGCTACCTGGTTGTTTTCCCAGATTTATTTAGGTATAATTGATGACCAAAACTTATATATATTTAAGCTGCATGAAATGATGATTTGAGACACATGTACGTTGTGCAATATACCACATTCCAGCTAATTAACACATCTGTCACCTCACCTAGTTAACCATTTTTTGTATGTGTGGTGAGAACACTTAAGATTTACTCTCCAGGGAGCCTGGGTGGCTCAGTTGGTTAAGCATCTGACTCTCAATTTCAGCTCAGGTCATGATCTCAGGGTCCTGGAATCAGCTCAGACTCAGCTTGGAGTCTGTCCCTCTCCCTCTGCTCCCCCCCGTCCCCCAACACTCATGCTCTCTCTCAAATAAATAAAATCTTTAAAAAAAATTTACTCTCTTTGTGGGGTGCCTGGGTGGCTCAGTTGGTTATGCATCTGAGTTTTGATTTCAGCTCAGGTCATGATCTCAGGGTCATAGGATTGAGCCCCCTGTGGGGCTCTGCACTCAGTTGCGAGTCTGCTTCTCTCCCTCTCCCTCTGCCCCTTCCCTTGAGTTTGTGCATTCTCTCTCTCTTTCTCTCTGTAAAATAAATAAATCTTAAAAAAAAAAAAAAAGATGTAGTCTCTTTGACAAACAAAAATTCTTAAATACAGAGAACAAACTGGTGGTTTCCAGAGGGGAGGTGGGTTGGGGATGGGTGAAATAGGAGATGGGGATGAAGGAGCGCACTTTTGGCCATGAGCACCAAGTGTGTATAGAAGTGTTGAATCACTGTATTGTACACCTGAAACTCATATAACACTCTATGTTAATTATACTTCAATTAAAAATAGAAAAAAGGGGCACCTGGCTCGCTTAGTCAGAAGAGCGTGTGATTTTTGATGTCAGGGTTGTGAATTTGAGCCCCACGTTGGGTGCAGAGATTAATTAAATAACTAAAACTTTAAAAAAAGGAAAGAAAAAAGGGATTTGCTCTCCTAGCAACTTTCAAGTATACAATACGTTTTTCACCATAGTCACCGTAATGCACATTATATCCCAGAACTTACTCATCTTATAACTGGAAGTTTGTACCGTTGGACCAACATCTCCCCATTTCACCTGATTGTTAGTCCGATTGTTTTTGTGTGTCAGCTGGTTTATAGAATAAGAAATTGGGACAGATTGCCAGCAGATACAGAATTCTATGTGATTCCTGAATGTCCCTCAGATCTTCACGTCTTCCATTTCTGCCCCACCCAAGTCCGACCTTCTTCATTTCTTGCCTGCTCCTTGTTGTTCTTGCTGCTTCCACGCTCATGTCCTGTGGTGGCCATTGCTCCTGGTCATCAGTGGTCAGTCTTCCTCTATTTCTGGGCCTGTGGGAGGATCACGCTTTCCCATGCCTTAAGAAATGCATGGCCATCTGACTTGCGGTGGCCAGAGAAGCGGTGAGAGGTGCTCCCAGGTGGAAGCATCTGAGCAGATGTGTGTGATTCTCCGTGTTCTCTGCTCTTGCCGACGTGCCCACCAACTTTTCCAGTGCTGGAGCTTTGGTCAGCCAGGGCCGTAGAATGAAGGTGATGTGGAACAGGGTCCTTACAGATCCATGACGCGTGTCGCATGAGCAAGGAATCAACCTTGTCTGTTTTGAGCTGCTGAATTCTGGGGGCTGTTTGTTACTGCAGCATAACTTAGCCAGTCCTGACTGACGTTCCCTTCCTGCTTCACCTGTTTGCACATCTGCTCACATCCTCCCACTGTTTGTAACCCTTTCATGACTCCCCAGTGCTGTCAGGATAAGGTCCACGTGCTTTGTGGCATGGGAGGCCATACCCACCCTTTCGCATCATGCTGATGGCTCCATGCTTACTTCAGCCTCTCCCCTTCTTGACATTCGTACTCCAGTTAAACTGGACCTGTGGTTCACTGTGAGCATCATGCTCTTCTGCTCACCTCCTGCCTTTCCATGTGCTGTTCCTTCTGCCCCGGATGCTTTTCTCTTGTCCTCCCCTCTCTCTACCTGGCTGACACCTAACTCCATCAAGACTCAACTCAGATGTCCTCTCCAGCAGGAAGCCCTCTCTGGCCTCCATCTGGATCAGGTGCCTTGTTTGGGGCTCCCACGGCCCCTGGGCTTCCCCCATAAATGTTCTAATCACTCTAGATGGTCTGATCGGAAGAACGAGTCTGTCTCTGCCCCTGGATTCTGAGTCCCCTGAGGGCAGGGCCAGCCAGTGTTTTTGGCACTGCTCAGCTCAGGGCCAGGCACGGAGGAGGGTTTCAGTCAACGTTTGTTGGTCAAGCAATAAATGAGCTCAGATGTTAAACAGATCTCAGGATGCGATGACAGGATTCCTGAGAAGTGGGAGCACGGGCTTTGCTGCTTTCTTCTCTTCATTTTTCTGCTGTTTTCTCAGGAGCCGAGGCTTGATAGTTGGCACAATTCATTCCTGAATGCTGCAGGAAAGGGGCTGTGGTTTCTGTGGAAAGTTCCAGAGAAATTCTTTGTTTCTTGGCTTCTCTAACCAGTTCCATCCAAATTTCTTTGCTGACTCAACACTCTCCCCAGCATTCTTTTTTTAAGTGGGTTTCCGGCCCAGCCTGGAGCCCAGTGCGGGCTTGAACTCATGACCCTGAGATCAAGACCTGAGCGAGATCAAGAGTCAGAAGCTTAACTGAGTCACCCTGGGGCCCCTCCCAAACACTTTTAATGAACATTTTCGAACATACGTTGGAATAATTTTACAGTGGACGCTTATGCATCCCTTACTTAGATTCTACAGTTAACGTTTTTGTTTTGTTTTGTTTTGTTTTTTTAAAGATTTTATTTATTTTTTAGAGAGCGAGCGAGAAAGAAACAGCATGAGGGGGGAGAGGGTCAGAGGGAGAAGCAGGCTCCCCGCTGAGCCGGGAGCCCGATGCGGGACTTGATCCCAGGACTCTGGGATCATGACCTGAGCTGAAGGCAGACGCTGAACCATCTGAGCCACCTAGGCGCCCCTACAGTTAACGTTTTTACTATGCTTGCTGAAACACATCCTCATCTTTCCATCCCTCTGTCTATCCGTCAGTCCTCCTTTCCAGCCCTGGGGAGCTGTGTCACCACTTGCCTCTGCTCCTGTGATGGTCTCTTTATTAAACTCGCCCCAGTCCCTCGATCTGAGTTTGCCGTTTCCAGCCGAGAAGCAGTGGCCTAGCGATGCAGCGGCCAGCGCGAACTGAGAACGGCCTACGTGTCTGACGCTCTCCCAAGGGCTTTGTAGGAAGCCATTTGTTTCATCCCCCTGACGACATTGTGTAGAACCAGAGGCCTGGACACGTGATGCCACTAGCTCAGAGTTGCAGGATCAGTGGCCCGCCCAGGATTTGAATCCAGCAAGCGTCTTACCTGGTAACTCTAAGAGCACCTGGGAGACGCTGGGGGGAATTTGAAACCAAGAGGTCGGGTTGGTGTTTTGAAAGCGCCCTCTGGCGGCTGCGAGGAGCATTGCCCGCCCCTGGCTTCCTTCTGCGGCTGGTGGGGGTGGGGCGGGGTGCGGGACACAACATTCAACTAAATCCTGCCGCAGGGACACTGACGGGTGGACTCTGCTGGGGTGCCGGTATGTTTTCTTGGAGGAGGTGACGTTGGAGCAGGGCTTTAAGCTTCCAGTAGCAAAGGCGCGAGAGAACCCGCCTTGTTCTGGGAAGAGGGTGCAGCTTTGCGTGGGAGGGAGTCATCAGATGAGGCTGTGGAAATAGGTCGTGGCCCATTTAGGAAAGAACCCTGGTCTTGGGATTTTTTTTTTTTAAAGATTTTATTTATTTATTTGAGAGAGAGAGAATGAGAGAGAGCACATGAGAGGGGGGAGGGTCAGAGGGAGAAGCAGACTCCCTGCCGAGCAGGGAGCCTGATGCGGGACTCGATCCAGGGACTCCAGGATCATGACCTGAGCCGAAGGCAGTCGCTTAACCAACTGAGCCACCCAGGTGCCCGGTCTTGGGATTTTTTTCTGTAACCCAGTTTGGAGCTTGGGAGCCAGCAAATTTCAAAGACAGAATTGGAGGGTCAGCTCTTTTTTTCTGCCAGTACAGAATTCTAAAAAGAGAGAGAGAGACCATTTCTGTTCATTCTAAAAGCTTTTATGGAGCCTCTTCCGTATATTAGGGATTGATCTGGGGCAGGGTCTGAGTCTGTTTTGTCCACCGTTGTACCCTCAGAGTCCAGAGTCATGGAAAGCCCCTAATGAAAGGAATGAATAAAACTAAAGATATTTGTGGGTGTCTGGGTGGCTCAGGAGGTTAGGGGTCCTGGGATCAAGCCTTGCATTGGGCTTCCTGCTCTGCGGGAGGCCTGTTTCTCCCTCTCCCACTCTCCCTGCTTGTGTTTCGTCTCTCGCTGTGTCTCTCTCTGTCAAATAAATAAATAAAATCTTAAAAAAAACCCACACATACAACAAAAAAACCTAAAGATATTTGCTAGGGCATGATGCAGGCAGGACTGAGGTGCTGGGAATGAGGTTGAGGTGCTTGGGGTTACAGGTAAATTTGGAGACAGAGGGGAGTAAAGTGAGAAATAGTAACTCTCTATAGCATTAGGTTAAAAAATTAGTCATCTGATTTTTATGGTCATTTCTTACGTTCTGGGGTTTTAGGATGGGGATCACACAGCAGAAATACCTGATTCTGGAATAAACCATGAAATCATTCATGTACGTTCTGGGACACACCTTTGGTGCCTTCTCAGATGGAGCCCTTGGGCGCCTCCTTCCTGCTGAGCCCAGCAGCGAAGGCCCGATGGTTGGTGAGTTACAAAGTCCTGACTTCAATCCTGAGCAGACGGGCTCAAGCCCTTAATCCTTTCTCTCTCTTGTTTAAATTACCTTTTACTAGAATTTCACGTTTCTCCTAAGCCGGTGCTTTTCCTTTTTCTTTCTTTCTTTTTTTTTCCCCAAGGGGTGTTATTGACTATGTAGGCATTCCTTTACACCGGGATACCTGGTCTGATGGCATCTTTGTGTCAGAGGCTCATCTCCAATCTGACAGTTATCAAAATTCAGAGCAACGTAAACTCCCAGTCACATAGTCCCCAGACCCGAAGACTCCCGGTTCCTAGAAATGTCATGTGTGTTATACAGAACTATGTGATCAAAAATTCTTTAAATCCTCCCCCCAAATGTGGGAGGAGGAGGCAGTGTGGGCAGGAGGACTCAGCCATGGAAGAAAAGGAGAGAGGCGAAGATGTCTTTTCACAAAGGAGGTGAATGAGGGAAATGAGACTATTACTAGAAACAGTGAGCTCTCAAAACACCGCAGCAGCCTCCCTTCTCACTCAGGGGAGAGGCCCGTGGCCTCACCGTGGCCCACAGGCCCCTTGGGGTCCAGCTCCCACTTCCTGTCTGCCTTCCACCTGCTTGCACGCTGCCCTCCTGTCCAGCCATGCCGGCCCCCTCAACGATCCATACCAACAGAGGCCTGTTCCCTCCTCAGGACCTTTGCACTTGCTGTTCCCTCTGCCTGGAATGCCCATCCCCCACCATCTGCAGTGTCACCTGCACTTTACAGTGTTTGCTGTGCGCTAAGGACAGTTCTAAGCAATTTATACACATTAACTCCATGAATCGCTTTCTTCATGAAGTCTTCCCAGGCGGTCCTAGTTGAACACCCCTCACCCCTGCACAACACACCCCTTGACACTTTTATCCTTCCCTACTTCATTTGTTTTTAACACTTTCCTACCATATTTTAACACTGGGGCTGCCGTATCGTATAGTTAGCTCTGCCCTGTCTATCGTCTGTCCTCCCTGCTCCCCACTAACATGTTAAGTTTGTCAGGGCAAAGATTGTGTCTGTCTCGATCACTGCTGTGTCCCCAGTATTGGGGACAGTGACTGGCATTCAGTCGGTGCTCTGTGTATATTCGTGGAACAGATGTATGGAGTTCTTGAGTTCGAAGTGCCATCCACGAATCATGTCATTTCATCCTCACATCCAATTCTGTGAAGTGGAAGGTCTTAGTATTGGACCCATTTTACAGATGGGGGAGTGGAGCTTCTGAGAGGTGAAGTCACCTTCCTGAGAATGCACAGCTTGCAGCAGGGGGCCATCTGGCTCTGGGACCAACTTGGTTGTTGTTTTTTTTTTTTTTAAGATTTTATTTATTTATTTGACAGAGAGAGACACAGCGAGAGAGGGAACACAAGCAGGGGGAGTGGGAGAGGGAGAAGCAGGCTCCCTGCCGAGCAGGGAGCCTGATGCGGGGCTCGATCCCAGGACCCTGAGATCATGACCCGAGCCAAAGGCAGACGCTTAACAACTGAGCCACCCAGGCACCCCCCAACTTGGTTTTTAACCATCTAGATGTTACTGCCCTTGTTGAGGGGACAGTGGAGGGGGTGGTATTTCAGCCACGGGGCAGCACCCACAAACGCTCAGGCGGGGCAGGCTGCATGGAGGGTGCCCCGGAAGTACCCAACCTCTCAGAGATGGGTGGAGGTTTGTCTGGCTCGCTCTTCCTCTCCCTGTCAATGGTTTCTGGGAGGAATTGCCATGAAACTCGAAATGAGTGTTTTAGGGAACAGATTGGGTTTTAGATTTCCTGCCAGGTTACAAAGGATGGGAGTGATTCCTCCCAGGAGGCTTGACTTCCAATTATTTTGGTATTTTTACAAAATTGAACTAAAATTCTCATAGCATAAAACTAGCCATTTTATTTATTTTTTTAAAGATATTTATTTATTTATTTGACAGAGAGAGACACAGCGAGAGAGGGAACACAAGCAGAGGGAGTGGGAGAGGGAGAAGCAGGCTTCCCGCAGAGCAGGGAGCCCGATGCGGGGCTCGATCCCAGGACCTGGAATCATGACCTGAGCCGAAGGCAGACGCTTAACGACTGAGCCACCCAGGCGCTTCTGGCTGCTATTTTAAATATTTTATTTTATTTTATTTTTTTAAGATTTTATTTATTTTTTGACAGAGAGTGAGAGTACACACAAGCGGGGGAGCGGCAGGCAGAGGGAGAGGGAGAAGCAGGCTTCTCCCAGAGCAGGGAGCCCGATGCGGGGTTTGATCCCAGGACCCCGGGATCATGACCTGAGCCAAAGGCAGACGCTTAATGACTGAGCCACCCAGGTGCCCCCAAACTAGCCATTTTATAGTGTATAATTCAGGGGCACCTGGGTGGCTCAGTCGGTTAGGCGTCTGCCTTTGGGTCAGGTCACGATCCTGGGGTCCTGGGATCGAGCCCCGCATCGGGCTCCCTGCTCAGTGGGGAGTCTGCTTCTCCCTCTCCCTCTGCCCTTCCCCCCACTCATGCTTTCTCTCTCTAATAAAATAAATAAAATCTTAAAAAAAATAAAGTGTACAATTCAGTAGCATTTTGTACATTCACTGTGTTGTGCGATCACCACCTCTCTCTTGTTCCAAAACGTTTTCATCACCCCAAAAGGACTTCATGTACCCATGAAGCAGTGACTGCCCATCTCTCCCTCCCACAGCCCCTGGTAACCACCAGTCTGCTTTCTGTGTGGGTCCTCTGTTCTGGGCATTTCATCAAAATGGGATCGAACAACATGTGACCTTTTGGTTCTGGCTTCTTTCACTTAGCACCACGTTTTCATCCACAGTGTGGCATGGATCAGTACTGCATTCCTTTTTACAACTATGTAATATTCCGCTGTATAGATATACCACACCTGGCTTATCGATTCCTCTGGTGATGGGCATCTGGGTTGTTTGGCGATATTTTTTTTTTTAAAGATTTTATTTATTTATTTGAGAGAGAGAGAGAGAGAGAGAGAGAGCGCACATGAGATGGGGGAGGGTCAGAGGGAGAAGCAGACTCCCTGCCGAGCAGGGAGCCTGATGCGGGACTCGATCCCGGGGCTCCAGGATCATGACCTGAGCCGAAGGCAGTCGCTTAACCAACTGAGCCACCCAGGCGCCCCAGCGATATTTTTTTTAATATCATAAATAATACACGGACTCAGTCTTGCTATAAGGATTCAAAGGATACCAACTCAGATAGAGTCAAAGGTGAGTTTCCTTGTCAAGATCCCTCCCCGCCCTCCCCCACCCCGACCCCTCCGCATGAACCTCTTTCTCCTTAGTTCCAGGAAGGGGCAATCATCCTGTGGGGATTTTCCTCTTAGGACCCCGGGAGAGGGAGACACTGCATTTTGTGGATAAAAGTGCCAACAGTAAAGCAAGGGCCGACACTTTCTGGATGCTCACCATGACCCAGGCGCTGTCCTGAGCGCTTTCCACATAGTAACACATTTAATTGTTGCAACGACAGCATGCACGGTCCTCGTTCCTCGTGATCCCATCACTGCCCGCCGCTCGGACACCACCTCCTGCCACCCTGCTCCCTGCCTTGTTCGCTCCCTTCTTCGTGCACGCGACCGCATGCCTGCCTCCTGGCTTTGACTGGCTGCACCCTCTCCAGCTGTGCCGAGCTCCCTCTCCCTCTTGTTCCTGCATCTCTGGCAGGTCACCCACTCCCAGGGCTTTCCCTGAGCACCCAGTCAAAAGCAGCCTCTCTTCTCCCTCACCCCCGGGTCCTCCATCCCTTCCCTCTGCTGGGCTGCTCTTCCCCGCTGTTCTCTCCACCTGACATTCTGTCTGAGATCTCCTTTATTTAAGCTGACTTCACAGGCGGCGGTTTGAGCAGCGTTGGCCCGCTGGGTCTCCTGGGGTTGGCTGTGTTGGCTCCCAGGTCTGCAGGGTGGCTGGGAGACTTGGTTTCCCTCCAAGTGTCTGCCGCTTTCCAGTGGGCTAGCCTGGGCTTGTCCTCGTGCAGGTGCAAAAGGACAAGTGGAAACGTGCAAGGCCCCTCAAATGAGACCCAGGCTTGCAACCGGCACTCTGTCACTTGCACCTCATTCCGTGGGCGAAAGCGAGGCACGCGGCCACGCCAGTCCTGTGACTACGGGAAGGACCGCGGCCGGCGGCGCAATCTCCATAGCTCCCATCAGCTCGGGGCTCTTGCCTTCTGCTCCTGGGCAGGGGAGGTGGGAGGCCTTTTGAGAGAGGACCCCGGGGAGCTCCCCTGCGGGGCTTCTCTGAAGGAAACCCTCAGGCTCAGAGTGGACAGGGTTTGTGTGGTGGAAGGGAACAGAACAGGAGAGGGTGGCTCAGCAGAACTGTTGCGTCTGCGTTTCTCATTTGGGTGTGGTTGTCTGCAGGAGGCTGGCCAGAAGCTTTGACGGCATCCACATTTGCAGGTTGATGAGCGAATACCTTGACATTATTTAATTGTAATTAGTCACTGCATTACCTGTTGTTGTTTTTTTAAGATTTTATTTATTTATTTATTTATTTATTTGACAGAGACACAGCGAGAGAGGGAACACAAGCAGGGGGAGTGGGAGAGGGAGAAGCAGGCTTCCCGCCGAGCAGGGAGCCCGATGCGGGGCTCGATCCCAGGACCCTGGGATCATGACCTGAGCCGAGGGCAGACGCTTAACGACTGAGCCACCCAGGCGCCCCTATTTATTTATTTATTTTTTAAGTCCTGTCTACACCCAACGTGGGGCTCAAACTCAAAACCCCAAGATCAAGAGTCACATGCTTTTCTGACTGAGCCTGCCAGGCGTCCCCCAGGGTTTTTAATCTAGATTAGTTAATTTTGATCTATCAAATATACATCAATCTAGGTTTTCCTTGATTTTTGTCTTTAGCTCAATGAAGAATTCGTTTGTAAGTAAAGGTGCAGGCAAGGGTTTTATGCATCCCAAGATCTTTTGTTTTTTGTTTGTTTGTTTCTTTTAATTCTTATGTTAATCCCCATACATTACATCATTAGTTCTAGATGAAGTGTTCCATGACTCATTGCTTGTGCATAACACCCAGTGCTCCATGCAGAATGTGCCCTCCTCAATACCCACCACCAGGCTAACCCATCCCCTCACCCCCCTCCCCTCTAGAACCCAGTTAGTTTTTCAGAGTCCATCATCTCTCATAGTTCGTCTGTTTTTTGTTTTTTTTTTAAGTCATCTCTACTCCCAACCAGGGGTGTAGACAACATGGGGCTTGGAACCACAACCCTGAGATCAAGAGTTTCATGCTCCACGACTGAGCCAGCCAGGCACACCCCCTCCTCCCAAGATCTTTCGAGTTAATTCCAACACCTCCCCTCCTAGCTCTTATGCAAGCTTCAGGCCTCGCAGACCTGTCTCCCCGCCTGGCTCTTGCACGTGACAAGAGGAGGCCGCTTAATTGTCACAGCCAGAACGATGATTATCTCCAGTTTACAAGTGAGAGAAATTTAGTGGTTTGCACAAGCCAGTTTCCCAGGACTTTTGCTGCTTATAAAAATAATTGGACCCAGATAGTTCTAGACCCTCCCCGGGAAAAGTGAGGCTGGCTGGGCTGTCACCAGCAGATTAGAGACAGCCGTCCTGGCACGGGGGCCTGTCTCTGCAGTACGCAGACGGGAGCAGTCATTCTTCCAGTAACTCTGGGTGTGGGTGGCTCCTGGTTCCTGGTGTCCTGGAGTGGCCTCCCTGTCCTCAGGGCTCACAGCCTTTTAGAGGCTCATGCCTGTAAAAACAGTGAAGCTTTTACAGCTGATCCGGCAAACCCAAACCCCGTCTTCCACCGTTGGAAGAGGTATTGTTTCTCATGGTGCCTTTGGAGTGTTCATCAATTTCCCTGTGTTTTACCAATCAGAACTCAGTTTTTCTGGTCCTTGGTCTAGGAACAGAGGGGGACAACCAGTACATCCTGGCCACTCAGAGGTGGTATTCTGGCCCAGAGCTAAGGACCGGGTTCAAGTGTTGGGCTTTTGCAATGTCGAAGTTACTCCTGACTCCCCCACCTCCACCGCCGTGCCCTCCACAGTGCCCCTAAGGGCTTCCCCAGCACTGGCCATCAGACCAGGAGCAAGTGTCCTGTCACCCAGTTTGGAGCTGGAAAGGACATGATCAGCCCCACACTCCGGCACCCTCAGCCTGGGCCCACCAACCTCCTGGGAAGGCTGCCCCCTTGTAGGGCCAGCCCAAGGATTAGAAAGTGCTGCCAGGGGCTCCTGGGTGGCTCAGTCGGTTAAGCGACTGCCTTCGGCTCGGGTCATGATCCTGGAGTCCCGGGATCGAGTCCCGCATCGGGCTCCCTGCTCGGCGGGGAGTCTGCTTCTCCCTCTGACCCTCCTCCCTCTCATGCTCTCTGTCTCTCATTCTCTCTCTCGCAAATAAATACAATCTTAAAAAAAAAAAAAAAGTGTTAAAAAAAGAAAAAGAAAGTGCTGCCAGACAGTCTCGAGGCCGCCGACCCCTTGCAGTTTGGGACCCGAGGGTTGCATGTGTCCCAGCTGTGAGGGGACAAGCTTGCCGCTCCCAGGCCACGTCCACTTGTGACTTTCTATGTCTCCTACTCCTATAGTAGAGCCACACTGCTTGGGTTCGAATCCTCGTTCTGCACGAGCAAGCATGCCTTGGTGTCTTATTTAGATGTCCCGTGCCTCGGTTTCCCCATCTGTACAATGGGGATAATAAAAGCCCTGACCTTAGAGTGTTGCTGTGAGGATGAGATCAGTTGACACATGGACGGTGCTTCAACCCCTCTGTGCTCGTAGACATCCCCAAATACTGACTGTTGATATTATACGTACTTACTGGGGGGGGGGGGGTGATCAGAGTCTTCCAGGAGCTCCTTCCTGCTGTGAGCACTGAGAAGGGCAGATTCAGGGCCCGAGGTGGCTGTGTAGGAAATGATGAGTGTATTTATTTATCTACTCTGCTGCTGACAGGCATTTGGGTCACTTCCAGTGTTTGGCAATGACAGATAGTGCTGCTAGGAACATTCTTGTCAAGGTCCTTGGGTGGACACACCTGTGCATTTCTGTCAAATATGTAGGCAGAAGTGGCAGTGCGGGGTCCAAGGGTGTGAATCGGGTTCAGCTAAGGTGGTTGTGTGTACTTACTGAATGTTGAACCATGAGATCGGGTGTCCTATCTGTTTATTTGTTTATTTTATTATTTATTTGAGAGTGAGCACAAGCAGGGGGAGGGGCAGAGGCAGAGGGAGAAGCAGCTTCCCCGCTGAGCAAGGAGCCCGATGTGGGGCTTGGTCCCAGGACCCTGAGATCATGGCCTGAGCCAAAGGCAGCTGCTTAACTGACTGAGCCCCCCAGGCGCCCCTGCCTGTCCTGTTTAAATAGATGAAGGAAATTAAGATGTACAACTGATGTGGGAAACAAAGAGAGAGGGAAATGTTGGTAAGATTAAATGTCCTTATAACCTGCAGCCCATTAACAAATACTTGAGGCAGGCAGAGTATAATGTTCCTCCCGGAAACTCCCAACTGTCTTAATGTTAATGCTTTGCTAGAGGGAAAAACCACCTTAGTTTGACAACAGCAAGGCTTCCAGGATCCTGTGAGTCTTCTTTAGCATATGAAAGTCCTTTTGGAACTTCCCTTTGTCTTTACCTCCCTCAACTCTGAAAGGTAGAATCAGTTGCTCCTCACAATGCTGAGGCAGCAGCTCTTTCTGCCCCTTGCTTTAATAAAACCACCTTTTTGTACCGAAGACATCTCAAGTCGTAAGAATTCTTTCTCGGCCATCGGCCCCGGACCCCAACACTACTCCAAAATCACGTCACAACGGCAGACACCCCCGCAAGTTGCCCAGACGCTGCGTGGAGTTGAGTGTGTGCGTTTCCAGTTGCTGCTGTACCAAGTGACCACAAGCTTAGCGGCTGAAACCAACACACACCTATTATCCGCCTATTATCCTATAGTTTCTGGAGGTCAGAAACCTGAAGTAGGTCTTACAGGGCTAACATCAAAGACCGTGTTTTGTCGGGGAGCCGGAACTCCTGTCCCCTTCAAGGTCCTTCTAGCTGGACTGAGAATCCAGTTGACATGAGACAGGTTAACAGGAGGAAATCATATTTCACAGGTGTACACACGGGGGATCCACACAGACAAGGAAATTCCAGACACTCAGGCAAAAAGAGGTCTATATGTCCTTCTGGATGGGGAAGTGGGTGGGTGGCTGGGACTTCAGAGGAAAGGAATACAGTTTACACAAAGATGAAAAACAAATGTTTGGTAAACAAATGTTTGCCGGGCCACTAGACACAAGGGGATAAAGGGAGGACTTTGATCAGAGTGGCCTTGCTAGGATCCCCGCTGTGCACCATGCCTAGTTCATATCATAATGTAGTTACCTATGGCGATGGCTCTCTTCCCAGGGCAGGTCTCCTATCTAAATTCTTTTAGATTGAGTTGGGGGGTGGTGGTTACAGAGCTTTTCCTGCATCTGCTGGGTTTCGATTGCTTTTTTTTTTTTAGATTGTATTTATTTGAAAGACAGCATGTGCGTGAGCAATGGGGAGGGGCAGAGGGAGAGGGAGAGAGAGAACCTTAAGCAGACTCTTCGCTCTCGGGAGTCCAGTGAGGGGCTCAGTCCCACGACCCTGAGATCATGACCTGAGCCGAAATCAAGAGTTGGATGCTCAACTGACTGAGCCACCCAGGAGCCCTTCGATTGCTTTTTTAACTCAAAAAGCCTTTATGCCAAATTGGTGCATCTTGGGGCGGCGCGCCGTTTGTCCCTACAGTTCTTACAGAGGCTCTAGGGGAGAATCCCCTCCTTGAGTTTTCCAGCTTCCAGAGGCTGCCTGCATTCCTTGGCTCCTAGCTAAGCTACTCTGACTTCTGCTTTTGTTCTCATTTCTGCTTCTGTGACTCCGATCCTCCTGCGTCTGTCCTTCTTGCCTGGTGTAATCCAGGATAACCTCCCCATCTCAGGGTACTCATGAGGTCACTACAAGGTCACTTTTGCCAGGTAAGGTAACATATTCACAGGCCCGGGGGACGAGGCTGTAGAAATCTTTGGGGGAGGGGACCATTATTCTGCCTCCCCACATTGAGGTACAGAGCTCTGAAAGCTACAGAAAGACTGGCGAAACCCTTTGGGCCGTCAGGTTCTAGAAAAGAACATAGAAGGTTCTAGAAAAGAACATAGGTTCTAGAAAAGAACATAGAAGCCAGAACAGGCTCTTTTCATCTCCAGCTCATCAGCTTTCTAATACCTGCTTGGCCCCCAGAAGAAGTGAGGTGCCAGGTGTTCCTCTTGCAGTTACTGACATTTCCTCTCTTAATACTAACTCAGATAATGACATTGAGCTCTTCTTCTCTGACAGGTGATGTTCTGAGAGTTTCCTAAGGGTGAACTCATTTCACGCTAACAACAACAGCACCACCACCACCAACAACCACATCACAAGGTATGTACTATTATTATTTCCACTGTACAGATGTGGAAACTGAGGCATAGAGAAGTTAAGGAACAGTCCCAAGGTCACACAGCTAGGAAATGGCAGAACTGGGATTCAAGTCTTTGCCTTAAAAGGGCTACACTCTTCTGTAGTGAGGCCGGCGTCATTACACAGTATTTTTAGTCTGGGGCTCAGGCTGTCCAGAGTGCCCAGGAGCACACAACCCTCTGCTTCCTGGGACATTTCCTGAGTTTTCCCAGAGGACTGGGGAAGACTTGAGAGAGGGGAGAGAGCCACCTTGTGGCGAGAGGGGGAAACTGAGAACCTGGCCCCATTCTCCATGTGTACATTCCACTGGCCACCAGCCCTGCATTCTGGTATTGCAGGTCTTGAAAGTACTGACACACGTTATTTATTCTATTTTATTTAAAATCTTTAAGGATTTTAACTTTTTTATTGGGGTATAACTTAGAGCACAAAACTTAGGTGTACAGCTCAATGAATTTGTATATATGCATATATATCTATGAACTTATACACGTGAATGTATATGTAACAACCACCTCGGTCAAGATATAGAATATTCTAACGTTCTAGAAGGTTCCCATGTGCCCCCTTCAGTCAGCACCATCCAGAGCTAACCACTTTCTGATTTCTCTCACCGCAAGTTAGGTTTGCCCGTTCCTGATATTTATATAAAAGGAATCGTACAATTATATATTCTTCTGTCATTGGCTTCTTTCACTCAGCATTATGTCGTGAGAGTCCACCATATTGTTGCATGCGGCAGGATTGTTACTTTTAAACATCCCTGTAAAGCATTTCATTTTGTGACTATGCCACATTTATTTCCCAAGTCTATTGTTGGTGGACAGTTGGGCTATTTCTAGTTTTGAGCTTTTATGAATAGAGCTGCCAGGAGCATTCTTGTATGTGGATATATGCAATCACTTTTCTTGGGTAAATATCCAGTTGTGGAATTGGTAGGTCATAAGGCATACATAGATAGAGTCCTAGCAGGTACTACCAAACAGTTTTTCCAAAGTGCGTACTGGTATTTTTGATTCCATGATATGATTATTTTCAGTATTTTTAAAAAGTCAGAAATTGGAGTCATTTGTCTGAGACACACAGAAAATCAAACACTGCATTGAAAGTTTGTCCTGAACAAAGTTTGCTCATTTCCATTTCCTTCCCTTGTTTGTAAAGCTGCCAAAGTAACATTGTTTTTGCATTTCTTGGGTTCCTAGGAAGAGAAATTGAACATTATTTCCAGTCTCCCAGCACACTGGGATGATTTACCGGTAATGCCATTGTCTAAGGGCCTGGATCCATTGGCGACCCTCACCCCAGAAGCACCGTTCACAGATGCTGCCCCGCAGTGCATCATTTACATAGACTGCTGTGCTAGGACCCTACTTCTCTTCCCTTAGGATAATTAAAAAAAAAAAAAAATCAAGATTTTCTTTCCTAATTATCCCATTTGGACCTAACACCTAAGTTTGAACCCTGGAGGAATAGTGCGGTGGCGGAGGGCACTGTATGGAAAACACTAGTGACCAAAGTCATAGAATGAATAGTTACTGGGCACCTGTTCTGTTCCAGGCACTGTTTCAGTCACTGGGTCTATAGGAGGGAACAGAACAGACAGAAATCCCTGCTTTTGTGGGACTTATTTTTCTAAGGAGGGAGACAAGACTATAAACAAGTATGACATATGATGGTGGTAAGTACAGGAGAGAAAAAAGGTGGGGAAAAGGGAATGCCTGGGTGGGGAGGGGATGGCAGCAGTTGTAATAGGGGCAGTCAGAGAAGGTTTCATTGAGAAGGGGACTTTTGTGTAAAGACCTGAAAGAGGTGGCACCCTAGATCAGAAGGAACGGTAAATGCAAATGTCCTGAGGTGGGAGCGTGCCTGGTGCATTGGTGAAACCAGAAGGAGGCCAGTGTGACTGGACTGACCCAAAGGATGTGTTGTAGGAGATGAGGTCAGAGAGATCAAGGAGTGGGACAGAGAGTGCAGGACCTTGTAGACCTTTGTAAGAACTTTGACTTTGACTCTGAGTGCGATGGAGAGCCATTGCAAGGTTTTGAGAAGAGCTTTTAGACTTATTTTTGAAAAGAATCACTCTGGCTGCTGTGTTGAGAATAGAATGGGGATCAGGGAGGGCAAAGGCTGAAGCATTGAACCGTTGGCTATTGCAGGAATCAAGGTGGGAACGGTGGTGTTTGGACAGGGAAGTGGCAGTGGAGGTAATGAGAAATGGTCAGATTCTAGAGGAATTTTGAATATAGGTAGGATATGCTAATGGATTGGATATAGCACAAGAGAGGAAGAGAGGATGATTAAGCATAACTCCAATGTTGTGGTCTGAGTAGCACACTTAAAAAAAAAACACCTTTTATTATGGGCAATTTCAAACATGTACATAAGTAGACAAAAATCGTGTAGGAAACCCCAGGTAGCTACCAACCTACCAACAAGCTTCAAAAATTATCACCTTATGGTCAATTTCATTTTTTCTATGCCCCACCCATTCTCTGTCCCCTACTATATTGAAGCAAATCTCAGTCTTACTTGCATTTTATATGTAAATCCATCAGGGGGCGCCTGGGTGGCTCAGTTGGTTCAGCATCTGCCTTCTGCTCAGGTCATCATCTGGGCGGGGGAGGGGGTCCTGGGATCTACCTGGGTGGGGCTCCCTGCTCAGCGGGGAGTCTGCTTCTCCCTCTCTCCCTGCCTCTCCCCTCTCCCCCTGCTCGTTTCTCTTTCTCAAATAAATAAGTAAAATCTTCTAAAATATGTAAATCCTTCAGTATATTTCTTCAAGGAGATAAGCCTCCCCTTTTCTTACTAAACACGACACAAAAAAATTTGTTATACCTGTTAATAGTTGACTCTCTAACAGAGACCACCAAAATCTCAGCGGTACCACAAAAGGGAAAATCAAGGAAGGCTGTTTGAGGCAGGCTCTTCATACCAAGAAACTGGCCAGGATTAGGCAAGGATTGTGATACAATGGTTTAGGATTGGTGAACACAACAAAGTGAGGGTCTTGAAACAGTCTTGATAAGCAAGCTGTTGTCTGATAAGTGAGCTTTTACAGATTTTTCTTCTAGGCAAGACTTTCTTGGAACAAACCATCGCCACGTTGAAATACATGGTTTCAGTTCTTGTGTTAGATAGAATTTAAAATACCTATTACGGTTAAATAGCCAGTCGATTAATAGATTTCCTTTCTTGTCTCATAAAAATATTTTTCCTGGTTTTCCAAGTGAGGTCCATACATTGCATTTGATTTTGTGTTTTTAAGTCTCTTTTAAGTTATAGCTTCACCTCTTTTTTTTTTTTCTTCTCTAAACATAATTTTTAACAAAGCCAGGTCATACAGAGTTCCCACAGCCTGGATTTTGCTGATTGTATACATGTGGTGTCATTTAACATGTTCCTTTGCCCCATGAGTTCCCTTTAATTTGGTAGTTAGAACTGCTGATCTAAGTTAAAAAAAAAAAAAAACATGGCAAACAGTGGGAAGATGGAAGAATTGGAAGCACCAGGAATCTGTCTCTCCATCTAGACTACAGTTGCTTTGGCAGAATCTGTCTGATACAACTATTTTGGAACTCTGGAGTCTGTTGAAAGCTTTCAGTTTCCAGTGGAAGGCTTGGATGGTAAATTGTAGTTAATTTGGGTTCTTTTTCTTTTTAAAGATTTTATTTATTCATTTGAGACACAGAGATACAGAAAGAGAGAGCATGAGCAGGGGGAGAGGCAGACAGAGAGGGAGAAGCAGGCTCCCTGCTGAGCCAGGAGCCTCATGTGGGGCTTGATCCCAGGACCCTGGGATCATGACCTGAGCTGAAGGCAGACACTTAGCCAACTGAGCCACCCAGGTGCCCCTGATTTGGGTTTTTAACATAGTAGCAGCTACCCATCCACCACCCCCAGCCACATGACAGGGTGTCATGCATGTGTTCCAGGAGCAACTTGCATGCAGCTGTGGGAGCCCATGTGGGCAATAAGGACTCTGTTCTCCAGATACTGGGGATCTGTGCTCTGATTGCTGATTACTGCTTCTGATCACAGAGGTGCAGACAAAGAGGTGGGCAGTCATGGTTATTGCACCTCCCTCTTTGTCGCAAGCCCCTTTCTCTCCAGCTTAAGTGACTTCCAGGGGATGTGAAGGGCTAGCACCTTTTCTCCTTCCTTCACTTTTGCTTTTTCCCCTTTCAGAGCTAGACATTAAAGACTAGGATATTCAAAAAATAACTACATATACGGGGAATATTAGAGAGTGACTGCGCATGCCCAAGGAAAGCCTCAGGAAAGACCTAAGAAGACCTTAAGTTTGGGGCACCTAGGTGGCTCAGTCAGTTAAACATCCAACTCTTGATCTGAGCTCAGGTCTTGATCTCAGGATCATGAGTTCAAGCCCCTCATTGGGCTCCATGCTCGGTGTGGAGCCTACTTAAAAAAGAAGAAGGAGAAGACTTTAAGTTTATACCTCAGGCTGATCCTCAGCACCACAGAGATAGTCTACAACAATAAAAATAACAATAATGATGATAAATAAAAACAATAAAATCAATGAACCCTCAGAAAGGGATGATCTGATGTCCAGAGTTACCACATTATTAGATTCAAATGTTGAACAAAAGAATCACAAAGCATACAAAGAAACAGGAAAATGTGGCATTCAAAGAAGAAAAAAAAAAACCAACAGAAACTGTCTTCAAAAAAGACCATGGGGTGCCTGGGTGGCTCAGTTGTTAAGAGTCTGCCTTTGGCTCAGGTCATGATCCCAGGACCCTGGAGCCCCACATTGGGCTCCCTGCTCAGTGGGGAATCTGCTTCTCCCTCTCCCTCTGCCCTTTCACCCCTGCTCATGCTTGCTATCTCTCTCAAATGAATAAGATAAAATCTTAAAAAAAAAAAACAAAAAACCAAAACCTAATGGCAGATATGTTAAAGATTTTAAAATAGCTATCTTAAAGATGTTCAAGGAATTAAAGGAAGATGTGGAGGAAGTCAAGAAGACAGTGTGTGTGAACAAAATGGAAATATCAATAAAGAGATAGAAAACCTAAAAAGAAACCAGAAAGAAATTCTGTAGTTGAAAAGTACAATAATTGAAATGAAAAATTCAGTAGAGGGATTCAAAGACAGATTTGAGCAGGCAGAAGAAAGAATCAGTGAACTTGAGTGTAGGACAATGGAATATTTCAAGTCTGAGACAGGGAAAATAAAGGTTGGAGAAAAGCAAACAGAACCTGAGAGACCTATGGGATGCCATCAAGTGAACTAGTACTCAAGTGTGGGAGTCCCAAAGGGAGGAGAGACAGAGAAAGGAGGAGTGAGAATATTTGAAGAAATATTGGTGGACATTTGGGTTGTTTCCAAGTTGTGGCTGAAAACTTTCCAAATTAGATGGAAGACATGAATATAAACATCCAGGAAGCTCAACAAACTCCAAATAAAATGGACTCAAAGAGACTCATACTGAGACACATTATAACCAAACTTTCAGAAGCCAAAGAGAAAATCTTGACAGCATCAAGAGAAGCAAATCATCACATACAAAGGAACCTCGGTAAGATTACCGGCAGATTTCTCATCAGGAACTTTGGAGGCCAGAAGACAGAGGGCCAATATATTCAAAGTGTTAAAAGAAAGAAACTGTCCACCAAGAATCCTATATCCCGAAAAACTGTTCTTCAAAAGTGAGGGAGAAATTAAGACATTCCCAGATAAACAAAAGCTGAGGGGGTTTGTGACCACCAGACTTGCCCTGCAAGAAATGCTCAAGGGAGTTTTGCAAAGTGAAATGAAAGGACACTAGACAGTAACTCAAAGCCATATGAAGAAATAAAGATCTCAGTAAAGGAAAATACATGAGCAATTATTGGTTTTTAAGATTTTATTTATTTATTTATTTATTTATTTATTTATTTATTTATTTATTTATTTAAGAGAGAGAGTGTGAGTGCGTGCGAGCCCAGGGAGGGACAGGGGTAGGCAGAGGGACAACGGTTGCTGTATGTATCAATTGTTCATTCCTTTTTTCTTTACTGAGTAGTATTCCATTATAAAGATATATTATTATTTATTCTTTCACTGTTGGTGGGCATTTGAGTTGTTTTCAGTTTGGGGCTCTTATAAATAAAGTTATTATGAACATTTGTATAAAAATCTTTGTATGGACATATGCTTTTGGTTTTTTTGGGTGGGGAGTGGTAGTACTTTGGAAAGGAAAGGCTGAATCCTGTGGTAACTGTATGTTTAATTTTTAAAGAAACTTCCTAAGATTGGGAACAAAGCAAAATGTCCATTCTCGCTACTTTTATTTATTTATACTAGAAATCCTAACCGGTACAATAAGAACAGAAGAAGAAATAAGGGGGCGCCTGGGTGGCTCAGATGGTTAAGTGTCTGCCTTCAGCTCAGGTCATGATCCCAGGGTCCTGGGATCAAGCCCCACATGAGGCTCCTGGCTCAGTGGGGAGCCTGCTTCTCCCTCTCTGTCTGCCTCTCCCCCTGCTCATGCTCTCTCTTTCTGTCTGTATCTCTGTGTCTCAGATAAATAAATAAAATCTTAAAAAGAAAAAAAGGAAAGAAATAAAAGTCCTATGTATTGGAAAGGAAAAAATAAAACTGTCCCTACTTGTAGATGACATGATTGTTTAGAAAAATTCCATGGAATCTACAAAAATTCCATGGAATCTACAAAAAACTGCTAGAACTAATAAATGAATTTAGCAAGGTTGTAGTATATAGATCAACATGCAAAAATCAATTGCATTTATTCTATATACTAGCAATGAAAAATTGAAAACTGAAATTCTAAAAGTACTATTTACAATAGTTCAAAAAGGTGAAATGAATATGAATCTAATGATATATGTACAGTATCTATAGCCTGAAAACTTATGAAACTAGGATTCTTATACATTGCTGGTGGTAATAAAAAATTATACAAGCACTCTGAAAAACAGTTTCTCCATTTCTTGTAAAGTTAAACAAACTCTTGCCTTATGACCCAGCAATCCTATTCCTAAGTATTTATCTTGGAGATAAAATTATATGTTTATCAAAAAACCTGTACAATAAATGTTTATAGCAGTTTAATTCATTGCTGCCCCAAACTAGAAACAACCCAAACATCTTCAATGGCTTAATGGATAAACTGGAGTATGTCCATACAATGGAATGGTATTTGTCCATAAAAAGGAATAAACCGTCAATATACATACAACATGGATGAATCCCAGAGGCACGAATAGTGAGTGAAAGTAGCTGGTCTCAAAGGTTCCATACTGTGTGGTTCCATTTCTATGCCATTTTCAAAAAGGCAAATGTATAGTGATAGAGAACAGATCCATGGTTGTCTATGACTGGGATGAGGGGAGGATGGGGCTACAAAGGAGTAGAATGAGGGAGTTTTGGGGTGAATGAACTTTTGTATTTTGATTGTGGTATTAACTTTTACAAGTGATTTTGTTGTGAAAGAAATTTTTTTTTTTTAAGAAATTTTTTTTTAACATAGTGCTGTGGTTTAATAAGTGTTGACCATCCAAAGAAGAGGCCTGCCGTTTTGCTTATCCATTCCCTTAGTAATGGATATTTAAGTCACTCCAGCTCTTCACCAGAAACATACAGTGTGATTATATAAATTGTATTCCTAAAGTTCTGCACATAGAGCAAGAAACAGATTTAATGCCCAATAAATTATTACTTTAGTTAACATTAAATAATAGTAAAACAACTTAAACAACTAGTTTCCTAGCTCCTGATCAAAACTGACCTCCTACTCTGACATCACTGCCCCAAACCAGGATTTGTTCACATGGCCACTATAACACTATTAAGGAAATAGGGAGAGGGATCTTCAAATTCTTACCTTTTTTCAGTGCCCACCCTTCCTAAATTTCTGCCTCTTTTCTTCTCTACCCTCTAGAAACTCACTGCTTTTTTCCTCCCCATTAGCATCAAGTTTAAGGTAATTGGCTGCAGTAATTGTAGTCAGTTTAGTTGTTGGAGAGGAGTGTGTATGTGTTTAGGGGAAATTTGGTTCACTTCAATAAGCAGTTCTGGAAGAAACCACAGCATCAGTTTGCTGGTCACATCTTATGGGTGCTGTTGTAAAGCTGTTGGAAACAAGGCCTGTGCCTGGGGTGCTGTTACCTTGTCAGGAGAGACCATACTTTGTGTGGGAAACAGAAAAATACTGAAGTAAGATGGTTGAATGTGCTGGGTTTCTGTGGAGGGAGAGCGTGGGTGTCAGAGAAGTCAGGAAAGGTCTGCTAGAATTGGCAGGGAGATGTCTAGTGGGGCTCTCATGGATAGGTAGGTGGGAATGGGAGATGGAATTTCAGGGAGGGAAGAACATGAACCAGAGCCCTGGAGAGAGCAGTATGGGTGAGGATAGAGGCTAAATCCAGACAGATGAACGAATAGGTGTATGGCAGGATTATATTTCATTTTAACTGTTGTCTCCCCACTCTCCAATTCTGTATACCACTTCTCTTGCTCCTTGTCCCTGAGTTAGTAGGGCCATTATCTAGAAATGCAAAGAGCCAGAAATATCTTAACGTTCAGCTTTGAAGTTTCAAAGTAGGCTTATGTAAAGTGAGACAGAGACAGTAATTCTGAAGGCCTAACTTTTGAATTGATAGACCTGGAATTCTCAAGTTCCTCGAAAGGCCTTACGGCATGATTGTTGCAAAACCATAGATTTGAGAAGAATGTGTGATAGTGGTCTGTGTAAGGTGGATGGTATAACTCCCAAGGGCTAGGCCCCATCTCTTCCCTAGTACCTAGGGAGGAAGCAGTTCCCTGTGCAATGATCTTTTCTCCAGATCTTGGGGGGAATTTCATCAGCCAAATGGGACGCCTCCACAACCCAGAGTCCTGAAGCACTGCAGTGGGACTTGAGAGCTGTTGGAAGGGGCCCTGAAGTAGCTGAGAGAGGAATGGCAGAGCCGAGAGGGCCCATGTGGATGACCATCAGTGCCCAGACAGGGTTGGAGGTTCCCAGTGGACGCCAGCAGGAATGGGAGCCAAGTACCAGGCATCAGCAGGAATGTGGACATGAGCAGCAGAGAGGCAAAAATGAGACAGTTACCTCCTTCCCACCAGTCCTGTAGCCAAGCCCTGGGCAAGGAGAGTGGAAAGGGAGAAAGCCCTGAGGTGGCTGAGTTTATTCAAACTGGTTAAGTTTCTGCCTACCGCTGGGTCAGATGAGGGATTCTTACAACCAAAGTATCATAAAAATAAGCAATATATTAAAATACTTTTATATTATGTATATTTATGTAAATATATTATTATACTTGAGTTTGCGGCCTGAGAAATTTGCCCGTGCCGCTGAAGTTCTTCAGCATATGATACATATAATTTTTAAAATACCAAAACAATCCACAAAATTTCCAGATTTTGGAAAATTGTATCATTCTTCCATTCACTCAGGGATTTCTCTTGTAACTCTCTTCAGTGCAATCAGAAAGCCATTCTTCGGGGTACCTGGGTGGCTCAGTCGTTAGGCGTCTGCCTTCAGCTCAGGTCATGATCCCAGGGTCCTGGGATCGAGCCCCGCATCGGGCTCCCTGCTCTGCGGGAAGCCTGCTTCTCCCTCTCCCACTCCCCCTGCTTGTGTTCCTTCTCTAGCTGTCTCTCTCTCTCTCCGTCAAATAAATAAAATAAAATCTTAAAAAAAAAAAAAAAGAAAGCCATTCTTCTATGAGAAACATCTAGTTGGCTTGTTTTTGTTTTTGCCCTAGATGGCATTTACCAGTCATGGTTCTGAATGCTTATTATTTCAGAGACTTAAATGCCCCCTCATTAAATTCAAATTTGATTTGTTTGTGCTTTCTCCTGCAAACTGACATGATGGGAAACTGGATGCCTAGGGACCAAGATAAAGTATTAGCTGGAGTGCGTCTTTAACTCAAAGAGTTGATTTAGAACCAGAAAACTTTCTAGAAAGAACTTGGATAGACTATACTATGGCCAAACTCCCCTGTCCTTTGTCCTTTGTAGGAGTCAGTAGTTTTCATTAAGTCTTCTTCCACCCCTGGCTATGTCAGTTAAACCACAATAAAACTATTTAAATAAAATAATAAATGTCTATTCCCCCTTATCCTCTCCCCACCTTTTACTTTTTCCTATGTGGCTCCTATATCATTGGAGTCTTTTATAATAAGATGGGTTTTGTGTGTTCTTGCATAATAAGCAGGAGAAACTAAAAACAAATCTTCCCCCCAAGAATCCTAGGCCCCAGTTTTCATACCCTGCTGAGCCCCAGCTGCCTCTTAAGTGCCCTGTGTCCACTGAAGATGCATGAAGTAAGCAGCAGAGAAGGAAAGGAATGATGTAAAGGGGCAAGAGACAGGACATAGGAGATGGGGTCTGTTTTAACAGAACGTGGAGTCTGATTTTTCAAAATCTGCCATACCTCCCAGGGAAATATTAGAGCAAAACAGCGAACTGTGGCCTTACGGTTGGGCTCAGAGTGCTCTGAAGGAGGCTAATGCTGATCTCTTGCCCAGCTAACAAGAAAAAGTGACCAATCAGAGTGAAAGGAAAACCAGACTTTAGGTCCAAGTATCGAAGTTCTGGTCTTGCTTTGCCCATAGCTATGTCAGTGTGAGACGCTCAAGTTTTCCAGATCTCTGTTTCCTGCAAAATGTGTGGGTTGGAGACAATGAATTTTAAGGGCCCTTTCAGCACTAAAATTCCACTTCTAGTCTTGGGTTATACACCAATCACAGCAGAAACTTTATTGGAAATATAAAATACATCCACAGGAACTCTCTCTGTTCTTAGCTCTCCACTTGCTCCTCAACTTGTTGATGGCCAGCAGTCAGGAGGGGTGTCCTGCGGCCCAGGACAAGAAGCACCTCCTCAGGAACAATGGACAAGTTACTGCAGTAACATCAGCAGCACTAGTTCTAACCTCCAAACCGAATCAGGAAGCCAGGTGGCCCCATTTTCAGTATTTCGGGGTTGAAGGAGAGACTGATATGGACAGATTTCCTCCACCCACATGGGCCCTACTGTAAAGATCCCAGACATCAGCCTGCAGCCAATTATGGATGTACAGCCTTTGACCTCCAAAAATGAGCTGATGCCTCCTATGGAACAAGAAAGGATGGGGAGATACATGGATGTTTTAGGAAATCAGAGAGGAATCCGTCCTTCCTCATTCCCCAAACCCCGAGTGTCAGAACCCCTTGGGATCCACCCAGATGTCTGGTTTTCCAGCCTCTGAAACCACCGGATGTTCAGTTTACCTCCAGTGATCTGAAGTCTTCCTTGATAGCACTGAATTGTATCATTGGGACAGGGAAGAGAAGGAGCATTCAAACAGGTCCCCAAAGCCACACAGGTTGGGCAGTGGAGGCGTGGAGACATACTGGGAGCTAGAGGGAGAAACAGAGGGCAATTAGGGTATGTCCTGCCCCTGGACTTGTCTCTTCTTGCTTCCCTCTCTTCCCCAAGTCTTTGCTGCTGACAGCCCCACAATCAAGGCCTATCACTGCAACCTTGCCATGCCTCTCCAACTGACTCTTTGCTATCAGAACCCATCCCACATGACTTCCAAACTGTGTGCTTAGGTGTGGAGACAGACATGAAAAGGACACAGTTCCTGCCACTGAGATCACCATCTAGAAGAAGGACATGCCAGTAATATAGTACATCTCAGCAGGCCCTGTGTCCAAGGTATGATGGCAAAGGAATGGAGGGGTATCTAACCACCTGGAAGAATTTGCTAACTATTTTCACAGAGTGGACACCTGAGTTGAGGTGGAGGGTGAACAGAGGTTAGCGGAGTGAAAATGGGGGTTGGGGTGGGTAGCAAAGTAAACAGCAAGGACAAAGGCTGGGAGGTGTGAGCAGCTTGGTGGATTTCGGGGACTGTGAGACACTGCAGTGTTGGTATTCAGCTGGTAGGCACAGATAGGGGTGGACGGTTCTTTTTATGGCCAGCATCCATTCTGATTGGCCAGTACCATATCTGTTGTTAAGTTTTTTTTTTTTAAAGATTTTATTTATTTATTTGACAGAGAGAGAGACAGCGAGAGAGGGAACACAAGCAGGGGGAGGAGTGGGAGAGGGAGAAGCAGGCTTCCCGCCGAGCAGGGAGCCCGACGCGGGGCTCGATCCCAGGACCCTGGGACCATGACCTGAGCCAAAGGCAGATGCTTAACGACTGAGCCACCCAGGCGCCCCCGTTGTTAAGTATTTTGACCACTGGCCCCAGCTGAAACACAACAAACAGGGAAGGAAGAGAAGGAAGTGAGCTGGGAAGTTGGGCAGGGCCAGATTGCCGTAGGGCCTGGCCAGATCGGGGAAGCAGTAACTGCCAGACTGGTAATGCCACACCATCCTGCTTGGAAACCTCCGCTGACACTTTGTTGCCTAATCAACACAAAACCCAACCTGACACCTCAGCCTTCACTGACAGCCCAGTGCTCTGAGCTGTGTTTAGACCCCAAGGTAACCGTTTAGGAAAAGGCAGGCAAAAGCTCTGAGGTTCTTCTGTGTCTGGCCCCATGGGGCCTGAGCCACGTAGGAACACAGAGAAGGAAGACCCGCCGTCTTCCCAGGGGTTACCGAGTTTCCCTCAGTGCGCACGTCTCACCTCCCCACGGCCCCTGGGTCTCTTCCTCCTTCCACAGCTCCAGTAAGTTCTGCCTGCTGTTGCATAAGGGCTCCTCACAGTAGCTGCTGTAGGAGACGGTGATTATGCCTGGGGGCGGGGAGTGCTGGACGTACATTATCGCCTGTGTCCCATCTGCCACGCAGCCCTTAGTGCCCAAAACTGCTGTCTTGGCCCCTGTTCGGAGACAGGAGGAAAGAAAGGGGATGGTGGGCCTATGGCCTGGCCCCAGGGGAGGGGCACAGCCCTGCCACAACATACCCTTCCTCCCACCCGACCCACCTGCCCTTTCTCGCTTTACCTGCTTTAATCATCAGAAGGGATTCCTGGCACAATGACCCACTGTCACAAGTCTCAACGTTCTCTGTGGTCCAATTAAACGTCTTCCGTGGGTCCTCTTCTACACTCATCCATATGCCCTTGTGACAGTGCAACTTTTGCTCCGCTGGGGAGGACATGAGACCACGTTAAGCACCTGCCCCCCCCCCCCAGTCCTCCTTCCCCAGAGGTGCATCCTCTCTGAACCAGCTCGCCCCCCGGGACCCCCGTTCTTACAGGCCAAGGAGGGGGCCCCGAGGAGGAGGAGGAGGAGGAACAGCAAACCCTGGACACGACGGGTTCCCATGGCGTCTTTCTGAGCGGCTTGGAAGAGCGGCTACGGATCTGCGATTTGAGAGAGAAGGGGGGCTGTTCGGCCTCCCACAGCGAGGCTGCATCGACCTTCTGGCAAGAACTGTCACTGCGGGGCGCAGCCGGCGCGACGGAAGGCCGAGGCCTCCACTGTCGGGGTGGCCCTGGCTGGCCTGCTAGTGTGAGCACATTGGCACGTTTACTGTGCCTCAGTTTCCCCAGCTGCAGCCCTGCGACCCAAACCCGTATTCTGCGAAGACAGAGGAGTTCAACGACCAGCACCCTCCAGCCTCGGGGTCCCGGGTGCGGCCCGGACGCCCCTTCGGCCTCAGGCTCAGGAGGCCTGGTTCAAGCCTATGTTCTCCCACGCCCCGGGATTCTCGGCCCCCCAGAACTCGGAATTCTGAGATCCCAGTCCTGTTCTACCGAGGGATCCAGGGCTTTGGGTTCCAGCCGCCATTTGCCGCAGGACTCTGAGCCCCCTGGCCTCCATCCCGCTCAGACCAGGAGTCCTGCCCCCCCCCACCCCTCCTCTTTCCTCAGGACCCAGGAATCTGGGTCCTTTTCTCCTTAAGGGACCCAAATTCCACCTGGCTTTCAGAGAACCTCACAAGAACCTCACGGTGCTGAAGGAACGGCCCGGAACGCCCCTCTCGTTCCACTCAGCCTCGGCTTCGTCTCTCGGACACACGGAAGGCGGGGCCAGCTTCGCCCAGCAGGTTACTCGAAGCCCCATTGGTCAATGTGAAAGCATCTGATGCGCTCATTGGATGAACCCGAAGGAACGCCGCACCCCATTGGCCCTGGAGGGGCCCGGCCTAGAAAGCACGCATGCGCAGAATGGCGAGTGGCGAGCGTGCTGGGGCTGCGGCGAGGTCGCTGTGTTCGCAGCGCCCAGTGAGCAAAGCAGGGCGGGCGGTGCGTCCTCAAACGGCCTCCCTGATCGCTTTCTCTCGTTGGGCGGTGGAGTCTCTGCTTCTCCAGCCAGGCTAGGAGGTCACACCCTTGGCTGTCCTCCACTGAACTACTCTCCCTGCCCAAATCGCCTCCCGTGTTCCCAGCCTGGGCCCTGCCGCAGCACCCGCCCGATGGCCGTGGTCCCTGGGAGGCAGCTTGCCCTCGTCACCTTCACGCGCGGCGGTTCCTGGCCAGGCCGGGCGTCTCCCTCTGATCGCGTCACAGCGCCGGCCCCCTCCTGGAAGGCTGAACAGAGAAATACCGGCTTCAGAGTCACTTCCAGCCCCGCTGACTGTGGGCATGAGCAGTGACTGTGAGGGCGCAGGTTGCCGCTGTAGCTCACCCACGTGGCCGTGCCACTGCCACCGGGAAGATGTGGCTTTCATTCGGATTTCTTTCTTTCTTTTTTTTTAAAGATTTTATTTATTTATTTGAGATAGAGAGAATGAGAGACAGAGAGCATGAGAGGGAGGAGGGTCAGAGGGAGAAGCAGACTCCCCGCCGAGCAGGGAGCCCGATGCGGGACTCGATCCCGGGACTCCAGGATCATGACCTGAGCCGAAGGCAGTCGCTTAACCGACTGAGCCACCCAGGCGCCCTCATTCGGATTTCTTGTTCGTGGCTGAAAACTCTGTTTCATACATATGTAAGCTGTCCAGATCTATATGTAACATGAAGCAAAGGGGTCCTTGGTGTACTCTCAGACTTGGTGCTGTTTCTGTGAGTGCTGTGGTGTAAATGAATATTTTTAATAGAGGAAATAGCACAATTAGAACTTTAAAAAAAACTAGGGAGAGTTAATACAAATACAAGAGAAAGCAATTTAGCTAGATCAGGAAGAATATTATGGCCTTTTAGAATCCACCAAAAAATGTTTTCAAAGATGAAATAACCCAGGACAAAAGAGTTACAATTAGGTTATATCGTAGCCCCCAATTATTTCATGTTTTAACATTCCAAACACTAAGAATCGGCATGTGATTCCGGGAGGGGATGAGAAATATTTAGGTGCCAGATGCCTTTACATCCTGGGGCTATAGGACAGGGTGCGTTGGGATCATTAGGAGGCAGGAAGGGATGAAGCACCTTACAAAAGGACCATGGCCAATCCCATCCTTGCCCCCAGCAACCTGACCAGGGCAGTGCCCACAGATTTCAGGGGAGGAGGTCTCTCTGTATGATGGTAGTGAGCATGGCTGATTCTGTCCTCACTGTCTGGCTGGCACATTCTGGAAGCTTTGGCAGTTCTTAGAATAACCGAAGGGACTGTCTTGATTGATGCCCTTTAACAAGGAACAGACTTACAGGATAGACAGTTTTTAGTGCTCACTGTGGTTTTGGCACGGCCTCCAGGAGCAAAGTACGAGAAAAGATAGTAAGAAATTCACTTCAAATACTGGGTCCCTGATGCCTGGCCCCCAGTTCTCTCATCTCTCAGGAATCTGTGGGTCCATGTTGCCAGCCCCCTCCTTCCTCAGACCCAGGAGCCCAGGCCCCCAGCCCCCTCCTCCCTCAGACCCAGGAATCAGGCCCCTGGTCCTCTCCTCCCTCAGACTCAGGGGTCCAGGTCCCAGCCTACTGTCATCTGGACCCAGCAATCCAAGTCACTACCCCCCTCAACTCTCAGCATCCAAACAAAATAAAGTACCCTTTGTGTACTTTCAGAATTGGTACTATTCCTAGAAGTTAAGCTATAAATGAATATTTATTTTTAATAGAGAAGATGCCTCAGTCAGAATGGTGTTAGTAAAAGCTCTTAATTTTACATAAAAATATATTAAAAACTTTCAGTTGGGGACAGTTAATATTAAGTATAATTATTAATATATTATTATTATTATTTTTAAAGATTTTATTTATTCATTCGACAGAGAGACACAGAGAGAGAGGGAACACAAGCGGGGAAGCGGGAGAGGGAGAAGCAGGCTTCCCACAGAGCAGGGAGCCCGATACGGGGCTCGATCCCAGGACCCTGGGATCATGACCTGAGCCGAAGGCAGACGCCTAACCGACTGAGCCACTCAGGTGCCCCAATTATTAATATATTATTAACAAAAACATTAAGAATAGTTAGTATAAATATGAAGAGGTAGTTCTGGTCCCAAGGACCCTGTCCCTTAGGCCCTGGGATCCTCCCTCATCCCCTCCCGTCTCTCTGACTAGCACTTGCCCTGCCTCCAGGCCTGACCCCACAGCTGGCTTCTAGCTCCTGTAGTGAAGATCATCCTAAATTGACTCTTGGCCTGTGGATTTGTTTTCTGGGGCTGCCATTACTAAGTACCACAGCCTGGGAGGCTTACACAACGGAAAGGTATTATCATAACACTTTTGGAGGCTGGAAGCCCAAAGTCAAGGTGTTGGCAGGGTTCGTTCCTTCTGAGGGCTGGGAGGGAAGGATCTGTCCCAGACCTCTCTCCTTGGCTTGTGGATGGCTGTCTTCTCTCTGAGTCTTCACATCCTCTGCCCTCTATGTGTGTTTGTGTGCAGATTTTTCCCTTTGAATAAGGACACCAGTCATACGGGATTGGGTCCCACCTTAATGACCTCATCTTCATTTGATTACCTCTGTAAAGACTTTATCTCTAAATAAGGTCACTTTCTGAGGTACTGGGGGTCAGGACCTCAACATATGAATTTGGAAGGGGGGGAGACACAATTCAAGCCATCATAGATTGAGAGAGATGTGTGTTGCAGTTGAAGTAGTGAGTACAGAATAGTGTACTCGCATGCTCCACCGGCCAAGCCAGCCAGGCACCCCCCTCAAATGGTATCTAAAAAATATTTCACTTTCCAGTTGTTCATTGCTAATATCTGGAAATATTTAAGAATATGTAGTATAGAATAATATAGAATATTTAAATTTTATTAGCTTGGGTATAGACTTCACTCTAGGGCTGGTTTAGCCTTGCTCCTAAGGTATAATTTTTCTAGGGTCTCTACTGAATGTCCTGTGTCTTCAACAAGGTCTCTCTGCCCTGGTTTCTTGGAATTTGAATGTTTTCCCTTTCAGAGTGGGTTTTGGACGTTGTTCCACATATAGCTCCCTGGAAGGTTTTTTTAAGTTTGTACCAGAATTCACAAGCTTAGATGAGGGGCTTTTTTTTTTTTTTTTTTCCTTTTCTATTCTAAAGTAAATTGCCTGTATGTATCTGCTTGCTTGACCCTAGTCAGGGAGGGAGCATGGCATTTTTATTTGCCATGTGTGTTTTTAATTCGTTTTTGGCATTGTATGGCCCCAACCCACTTCTATATAAAGTAATACAAAAGCAGGCATTCAGAGTTAGTGTGGGTTTAAAATTGTATTCACTGATGTACACAAAGTAATAGTAAATCTTTCTTTAGGTTCAGTTTTTTATTTTTTATTTTAATTTTTTTTAAAGATTGCATTTATTTATTAGAGAGAGAGTGCGCACCGGGGGGGTGGGAGGCAGATGGAGAGGGAGAAGCAGATTTCCTGCTGTGCGTGGAGCCTGATGTGGGGCTCAATCCCACGACCCCAAGATCATGACCTGAGCGGAAATCAAGAGTTAGACACTTAACTGACTAAGCCACCCAGGCACCCCACTGGATGTACTTTTCAAGTGCGTGGGGGACACGTCGGGCTTGATGGATGCCTCCAGGCCCCGGTGGACACCGTGAGGATCGTGTCCTGCTGGATGGACGGCCCCACCTCTCCTCTCTGGCCTCTCGCACAAGCTGGGATCAAGCCGAACCCGTCCCAGCGCCCCCTCTCAGCGCCTTAACTGCACACATAATTCCAGCATTCACTTCCCGTCTCCACACAGGCTCAGCCTGCACACATCTCCTTCTCTTGAAGGTCTTTCCCGCCACGTGGGGGCCGCAGCAAGAATCATGAGAGTCACTCTTGAGTCTTTGGTCCCCCTGCCCCACGTGGAATCTGTCACCCACACCTCTCCAGGTCCCCGCCATTTCTCCTATTTCTCTACCACTTTCTCCTCCACCGTGACTCATGAGTCCATGAGTCCCCACCTGCCCCGCCATTTCTCCTATTTCTCTACCACTTTCTCCTCCACCGTGACCATGAGTCCAAATTGTCATTTCCTCCGTGGACCTGGCAGGGTCTAACCAGCCTTGCAGGGCGTGAGGTTCCTCCTGTTGCCGTAACAAATGACCACAACCGCGGTGGCTTCACACAACACAACGTGTTAATCCTAGAGTTTTGTAGGTCCGAAGCCTGACACAGAGCCACAGGGATCGCCCAAGGCCGTCTCCCCATTTAAAGGCCAGCCTGGTAACAACCTTAATTCCCCGTTGCCTTGTCCAGTCACGTATTCACAGGCGCTGGGGAGCAGGGTGTGGACATCCTTGGGGGTCACTTCTGCCTATGACAGCTTCCACCGTCTCCTCTCTCTGGGGTCTTCTCTGCGCGCAAGCAGAGCGATACCACTAGAATAACGTCATGTAAATAGATCATGTCGCTTCTAGAAAACAGATCAAACAACGAATAAACAGTCTCTTCAGACACGTCCGACTGCACTTCGAATGAGACACAGGGTCCCTCATGTGGCCTCCAAAGCCCTGCATGATGGGCCCCCAGGCTTCAGGCGCACTGGCCGCTCCAGGTTTGAGGGGAGGTGGGTGTGAGTAGAGAGGGTGGGTCTCCCTGTCCTTTCATTCCTGGGGGTAGATCCCCTTTCTTGTAATTGTGTGGTGGGATCATGAAGACTCAAACCTCCATGTAGCTCTTTACCTCTGTAAAGACCTCATTTGAATGATGAGGCAAAAGAGCCAGAACACGGCAGGCTGCACATTTCCAGGTGGCCCCAGGAGAGATGCCCCACTGAGTGGTTGCTCCACGCACACCCTCTCCCCTCCATGGTCTCTCTTGAGCCAGGCCCTTCCTCTGGGTCTTCAGATTCATCACGTGCCTTCATCCCTGCCCACGTGTACCTGGGAGGGCAGCCCCTGCACGGAAGGTCCTTCAGGCTACTGGCAGGGGGGAGGCTGGGGCTTCGTGGACCCAAGCTGCAGACTCGTACAAAAAGGGAAGGTCCGCTCAGTAAGCCCAGGCCTGGTGAGCCCAGCGTGGCTACCACGTCCCAGGGCTGCGTGGGGGTCAAAAACTGTGGTAAGAAATCCTGTCTCTTAATGTGAACCCCAATGGTACCCTTGAGCCCAGAAAGAGGACAGGCCCCAGAGCACCAGCTGGCTCTCTTGGGTGAGGATGGTTGATATTCCAAGAAGCAGTTTCTCTGGTCCCTTTCCTGTGACTTTGCAGCTCTGCCCGCTCGGAGGGGTTCCCTCCATGCCTATCCTGGAGCCCATAAGTGGGAGGAACCAAGAAACATGTTTTGTGCCTCTGCAAAGTGTCCTCTGCCCTCACCGTTTGTTAACGCCATGAGGGACTCTCCTCCTCTCTCCTCTGCACTGCCTGCTAGACGCTTCCCCTTTAGGGTGCTAATTCTATTTAGTATCTTCAGAAAAGGCAAAGGTTTTCTTAAACACAAGGGAGCTTCCATGGCCACATAGAGCCTCTGACACAGGAGCTTCCCAACCTGCTCATCTAAGGTGTCTCCCTCCACACCATCCCCTGTCCTCATTCTTCCTTTTTTGATTTCCATTATTTTAAACTTCATTTTTAATTAAAACACATTTTTCTTAGTATAGGCTCCATGCCCAGCATGGAGCCCAACGCGGGGCTGGAACACAAACCCTGAGATCAAAACCTGAGCTGAGATCAAGAGTTGGATGCTTAACCAACTGACCCACCCAAGAACTTCTATTTTTATTTTTTAAAGTAAGCTTGAGATCACCACCTAGAGACAAGAGTCTCATGCTCTGGACTGAGCCAGCCAGGCACCCCCTTTTTACTTTTTCTTTTTTAATGTCACATTTTAGATTCTTCAGCTTTCTTTTCTTTTTTAAAGATTTTACTTATTTACTTGAGAGAGAGAGAATGAGAGAGAGCACATGAGAGCGGGGAGGGTCAGAGGGAGAAGCAGACTCCCTGCCGAGCAGGGAGCCCAATGTGGGACCCGATCCAGGGACTCCAGGATCATGACCTGAGCCGAAGGCAGTTGCTTAACCAACTGAGCCACCCAGGCGCCTGATTCTTCAGCTTTCTTGAATCCCTTCATCTGTCCCCCTTCCACACTGCTACCTCCTCTACCCCTGTTTCCATCCCTGCCCGGCCCTTCTCCCGATATCTCCCGATTATCTCCCGATAATCACTGGAGCTTTGAGCCTCTTCCCAACTGTGGGCTCTTGAGGGGCTCAGAGACCCCACAAGCAACCATCTAGGGTGAAATGGCCTGATTGAGAACAGGAAATGAACCTCACCCACCAACACTTTGTATTTGTCACACCCAGAACTTCCTCTTTGAAGGCAGGAAGGTTTCAAAGGCCCCAGGGTTCTTTACCCCGGTTTCTCCCTTAAAGAAATCTGTTAAAAATTATAGTAAAAAACACATAACATTATATTTACTACCATTAGCCATGAACCAGTGTACATGCAGGGGTATATATATTCTCATTGCCGTACAACGCATCTCTATAGCACCTGTTCATTTTGTGACTGAGGATCTGTACCCACAGCTCTGTGTTTCCTCCCCGTCTGCCCCACTGCCCCCACAGTTCTTTCCGTTTTTGAAATGTCACTACTTTAGATACACATATAAGAGGAATCACAGGGTATTTGTCTTTCTGTGACATGTTCATTTCACTTCGCAGAAGGTCCAGAATTACCTTCTTTTCTAAGATAGAATAACATTCTGTTATGTAGATGCCACACGTTCTTTATCCATTCCTCTGTGTGTGGACATGTGGGTGCTTGACTCTGGAGAAGAACACTGCAACGAACGGGGATGTGCAAGTATCCTTTGTAACGTTGCTTCCAATTCTTATGGATATAACATCGGGAGTGAGATTGCTCCATCATGTGGTAAGTCTATTTCTTCATTTGGAGAAAACTCTGCACTGTGTTCCACGGCCAATGGGCCATTTTACATTTTCACTGACATGGGGCCAGGGTTCCAATGCCTCCAGATCCTCCCCAACACAAGTTGTTTTACGGTTTTTGGGTTTTGGGTTCTTTTGGTTATTGTTTTTGATGGAGGCCATCCTAACGGGTGTGACATGATATGTCTTTGTTCTTTGATTTGTTTTCTGTAATGATTACTGGTGCTGAGCCTGTTCTCAGAAGCTTGGTGGCCATTGCGTATCTTTGGAGAAATGCCTCTTCAAGTATTTTGCCCGTTGTTTACTTGGGTAGTTTGTTTTCCTTGTTGTTGTGAATTGTAGAGTTTCTTTACATCTTTTCAATTTGAATCCCTTAATAGACATAGGAATTGCAAATCCTTTTACTATTATGTAGGTTCCCTCTTAACTCAGTTGATTGTTTCTCCTGAGGGCCAACAGTCTGTAAGCTTGAAATGGCCCTGGTTTTCTCGTTGGTTTTGTTGCCTGTGTTTTTGGTGTCATATCCCCGACATCATTGCCAAGTCCAATGTCATGAAGCTTTTCTCCGCTTTTCCTCTCTCAGCGTCACGGTCTTAGGTTCTCTGTTGAGACGCATTATCTATTTTCAGTTAATTTTTGTGTATGGTGGAAAGGAAGGGTCCGGATTCCTTCTTTGTATGTGGATATCCTGTCTTCCCAAGCCTTTTCATTGAAGAGACTGTCCTTTCTCATTCGAATGGGATTGGCACCCTGGGGAAGATCATTTGGCCATGTGTGGAAGGCTCTGAAATTTAGGGGCTCTCTGTTCTGTTCATTTGGTCTATGTGTGTCTCTGTGTCTATGCCAGGACCTCACTCTTTTGTTTCCTGTAGCTCAGTAATATGTTTTGAAATTGGGATGTACAAGCCTCCTACTTCTTCTTTTTCTAGATTGTTCTGGCTCCTTGGGGTTATGAATTGAGGGATGATTTTTTTTTTCTACTTCCTGCCAAAAATGCCATTGGGATTTTAACGTGGATTGCATTGAATGTGTACATCACTTTGGGGGTTTGGACATATTAACAATATGAAGTCTTCTGAGACATGGTTTTGTTCCTAAAGAGGATGGATTTTCAAAGAAGCAGTTGCTCTGGTCCCCTTTCCTTCAGGAGGAAGGAGATTGAGCAAGCTGAACTCTTTCCCTGCTCTTTTCAAGTTTTTTTTCCTTTTAAAGATTTTTTTTTTCTTTTATTTGAGAGAGAACACAAGCAGGGTGAAAGGCAGAGGGAGAGACAAGCAGAGTCCCCACTGAGCAGGGAGGCTGATGTGGGGCTGCATCCCAGGACCCGAGCCGAAATCAAGAGCTGGGGGAGCTCAACCTAATGAGCCGCCCAGGTGCCCCTCTTTTCAAACTTTTTTCTCTCTGGTTTGACTATCTATTAATCCATGGGTAGTTTGTCATCTTATTCTGTAGTTTGTCATCTTTTCTTCTGTCACTGACTGTGCTTTACAACTATGGCACTAAATCAGTTCAGTATCTCCAGAAATGGCAAACATCTCCTAAGGACACAGAGGGACTTCATTGGGCATTTCTAGCAACATGGAATCCCCAACCTGGCTCATCTAAGACTTCCGTTCTCATCATCCCCTGATCCTTATTCATCCTTTTTTATAGCTTAGATGTTTTCTTCGGCTCTCTTGAATCTTTTGATTGTCCCCCATCGATACCTCTACATCCTCCACCCCTTTATCCCTAACTGGCACACCCGTGCATTTCTTCTGAACCCCTCAACTCCCTATAGTCACTGGGGCGTTAGGTCTCATCTCCCTTCCCTTCCTCTTCCTCCTGACCCTTGGGCATTTGGGGATGGTACGGAGAAGCATCTCATCCCAAATAGGGGTGCCTGAGTGGCTCAGTCGGTTAAGTGTCTGCCTTCGGCTCAGGTCATGATCCCGGGGTCCTGGGATTGAGCCCCGCATCAGGCTCCCTGTTCAGTGGGGAGTCCACTTCTCACTTTTCCTCTGCTCTGCCCCTCCCTCACTCATGTTCTCTCTCTCTCTCTCTCTCAAGTAAATAAATAAATAAAATCTTAAAAAAACGAAAGTTATGTAGGAAAGATAATCATCCTTCCACATGAATGATCCTTGGGTAGGAGAAATCAGGGAGTAGAAAAACAACGTTGGGAGCAAGGTATAGTGCATGGGTTTAATGAGAACAGTTTTGTCCCAGTGTGAAATGGCATTGTTTCCAGCAAAGGACAGATGACAGCCTAGCACAGAGCCCGAATGCACATACATAGACAGTTGCAAATGTTTCATGGTCAGGCAATTTTATTTGTCCTGGTTCCCTCAGGCTGAGATTACCTGGGTTTATGTCTAAGAACTTTTGACAAGAGCCTTTGGTATCAAGTGTTGTGATGTCCAAGTGGAATTCAGTATTTTCTTTGTTACAAAGACAAAACTTTGTTGGATATTTGGTCTGCTTTGAATAAGAGGATGTGAAAGGAAAAGGTTCTCCTCTTTGGAATAATCTGCCAACAGCAAAAGAGCAAATCAGAAGGAGCAAAGGTGTTGTTTCTGATGGGAAGCAATGGGACTGGGGAGCATGAGGAGATACAAGTGGGGGGATGGCATGTTACCATGATCACAGACACAGGACTGCAACTGGGTAGTTTTTTTAAAGCTTTATTTTTTAATTTTTTAAATTTTTATTTATTTATTTATTTTTAAAAAGATTTTATTTATTTATTTGACAGAGAGAGAGAGACAGCAAGAGAGGGAACACAAGTAGGGGGAGTGGGAGAGGGAGAAGCAGGCTTCCCACCAAGCAGGGAGCCTGATGCGAGGCTCGGTCCCAGGACCCTGGGATCATGACCTGAGCCGAAGGCAGACGCTTAACGTCTGAGCCACCCAGGCGCCCCGAGCTTTTTTTTTTTTTTAATATGAAGAGAAAATTACTGGGGTTCTTTAGTACTGTGGTACAGCAGAAAACTGCCCCCAAAGTTACCCTGAGTTTTATCCTTGGATCCTGAGAATGTTCCATTCCCTGGCAAAGACACTGCACCTGTGAGATGGAAAGATGACTCTGGACTATCTGGGTGGTCTGTCATCTGAAGAGAGAGAGAGAGAGAGTGTTGGCCTAGGAAGGAAAAGAGAAGATGGGAGAGGAGGGAAGATGGGTGTGATGGGGGACCAGAACCCAGAATGAGGACAGCCTCCAGAAGTTAGAAGGGAGAAGAAAAGCATTTTCCCAGAGTCTGAGAAGTTTGGGCATCCGTACAGACACCTCTTTTCGGGCACAGTGAAGTCCATTAGGGGGTTGTGGGCGCCAGGCCCGTGAAGAGGTTTATAAACAGGTTAGATGGTTATGGAGATGAGTGCCCTGACACTAAAGACAAAGCACTGGATTTGGGAGAGCTCCTGGCCGACTGGGGAGCCATTAAGCGGTAGAAGCCCAGAGAACTGCAGACAGAGACTACGGGGGCGCGGGGGCTCAAGGTTTGGCAGAGGGGCCCTGATGATCGGCGGGAATAGGGCAGGAGGTGGAGGGAGGGGGAGGCTAGAGTCCAGTGGGGGAGCTGAGTCCAGAGAGCCAGGAAGGATTGTGGGGCACAGGGATCACGCAGAGGCCAGAGGCCATTCTTGGGAGGAAGGGGTCTCGGGTCAGGAGCAGTGTGGTTGGCTGGGGGGAATGGAGGGGGTGGAGGGCACAAAGGGAAAGAAAGGCAACGGGGTTGAGGGATCCTGGTTTGGGCAGGGAGGGCCAGGGTTTCCCAGGGTCCAGATCAAAGCAGAGCCTGTGTCGGGCAGTTTCAGCGTCACTCGGGATTCTTCTAGAAGGCAAAGGTCTCATTTCTTCCCCAAGGACCCTTCAGCTCATAGACTCATTATCAAGATCCTCCAGGGGGTTTTGATGTAACTGGAAGACATGGGGAGAGCAGTTTGCGGGGCACAGGGAGGACAGGAGTCCGTCAGGAAGGGGACTGAGGCCGGGTGACCTCAGAGTGGGCAGAGCCCGGATGCAATGAGAAAAGGGGGCAGAATCTGCCGAGCCTTGGATGGGGGTCAACTTGAAAGGGGAGGGGGGGAGCTCTGTGGGGTTCAGGGCACTTGGCAGCCAGTTTTATTTCTTCATAAATAAAAGGGCCTTTCTACTAGTAGGTGCTTTTGAAACTGTCAAGCAGACAGCCCCCAGAGTTCCTGCATTTGCCACCAAGGGTGCCTTGGGTGTGACACCAGCCATGGGATCCCCAAACTGTGTGTGAAGTCACCTGTGCAGATGGGGTGGTGGGAAAGGCTTTTGGCCCCCAGGAGCGGGGGGCGTCCAGCTCTCACAGCTGCCTGCCAGGCTACAAAGCATATTTACAGACCCCTGGGTGGGGGTCTCCAAGGGAGCAGACAGATTCATGAGGATGGACCAGTCCCCCATGTCTCTTTGTTGGCGGGGGCCTGGGGCTTGTGGGCCTGAGTTCGAGGTTGCCATTTCCAAGCTGTGTTTCCAATGTGGAGGCTGAAGCTTCAGAGCAGCCCAGACTCCAGTTTTCCAAGTCTTCAGAGAGGAGTCCTCTCCAAAGCCCCCTGGGATGCTGAGCCCCCAATATTACGTCTTGGAAACCATCCCCACCCCCATCCTCCACGCAGCAAATCCCAGCCAGGCCGCGGACCCCTCCCTCTCCAGCCCACCCTACGCCATGGCATGGAGCTCTCTTTCTCATCCACTGTGGTTTTTCCCTCCTCCTCCTCGGATCCTGGCCACAGAGCCTGAGCCACACAGGAGAAAGAAGTCAGCCTAGGGCTGGGGAATAAGGCTGCAGACACTCCATTTGTTGATAAGAAGTTTATTTGCTCCTTTGTGCCAAAAAAGAAAGAACTGAGGCTGCAAAGCAAAACAAAACTTTTTTTGAAATCTGGGAGGCACAGATTCAGGAGGAACCTGAAATGTGCTCTGAGCGCGGGAGGAGAAAGATTTGATGAAGGTAAAAACCCGTAGGTTTATATAAATTCT